TTTGTTTGTAACTCTGTATTGTCTGTATTGTGCTTGTGATATGTTGTAAAATGTTGTATGTCTGTTAATGTTTCCTTCCTTTTATCCTTAAAATAAAATAAAATAAAAAAAAAAAAGAAATAAAATGGTAACACTACCTCAGAGGAAGCAATTAATGAAGAAGTAATTCAGAAAATTCTACATCCTTTCTTGAAAGAAAAATAAGCAGATGGGAGGGGAAAGAAGGAATTACAATTAGAAACAATGACACAGATACAGGAACAGATATTGCTGAAGAAGACTATGCAGATCAGTTCAGCTCATGGGTTCCCAACACAGAGCCAACCTGGAGAACAAGGCTACAAAACAGATAGGAAATGCTTGAATGAGGGCAATTCTCCTTGGATAGATTTCAGTGAAATAAAGTTATAATCTCCACATGTTTACAGAGCGTAAAGGCAACAGGAAGAGACTAATGAATTCGTATTTATTGATCTCATATTGACATTCTCCAATTCCTATAATAAACAAAGTATAACAACACGTATTACAGGTTAGATGCCATGCCTTGATGAAATTAGAGGCTTCCAGAGAACAGTTTGTATCAAGATCACCAAGCACACTTCACTGATTCTGACTGCCCATTCACTAATCTGACCATCAGTACTGCAAAAAAGCTAGCCCTTTTTTTGATGCTTATACACAGTGAGATGCACGACTTGGGCTACCTCATCCCACTAACAAAACTGCAGGCTACAAACAGATACCTGAAGAAACAGACTGATTAGCCCCTTTGCTATGATCATCCCTTAATTACACTGTACTTTACTTATAAACGTTTTTATATTAATCATGGCTATTCAGGGTTCTACACGCTTCATTTATCTGTATGTTAAATTCTTTTTCCACATCTCAAAAGCTTTCTGTGTTAGTTGGGTAAATGGATTTTTATGCTGATCTAACTTCTCACTAATTCCAATTACTCTTATGTCAGTCCTCTTTGAGTAATCTAGGAGCTGCTGGATCCTTTTTTTATGTTCCCTTATTGTTTCAGTTAATTTCTCATTAACTGATCATTACCCACAGCCCTATCTAGGAGTCTGACACTCTTATTTATTCAGTTTCTAAGTCATTCATTGAGCTTTTCCCCTTAATTATTAATTCTACAGATATTTATTAAGGCCAATGTAAGTTAGACACTATGTTTGCCATTTAAGATATAAAAACAGTAGGGACAGACATAATGCCTAATTACACAAAACTTAAAAGCTGAACATGAAAGTCAGCTAACAGGTGCACACAGACACAATGGGGGAGGTGGAGTGTTTCTGGGAAGGCTTCCCAGAGAAGGAAATATTAAAGCAAGAAATAATTTATTAATAAAAGAGAAGTTAGCTTGGCAAGAGAACAGCAGAAAGCAGCAGAGAGAATCAAGAGACAGTCCTAGGCCAGGCAAATAAGACAAAGGCCCTCAAACAAAAAGAAGCGTCCTAACTATACCATCCCTTTCTTCTCCATTACACTTTTGTTACATGTGTTTTTCCTCTTTCAAAATCTTTTCCTGATGTCACATATCTACCTGTTGAAATAATATCCATCCTTCAACAGTATATATACCCAGTATCAAGGAGAGTACTGACTCATTCGTACCAGGCAGGAAATAAGCATTTATTAATAAACGGATGATGAAATCATCATTCTTCCAAAATGATAAACATGCTTGACATGTGTCTTAGTTACTTTCTCATTGCTGAGACAAAATACCCAGTACAGTCTGTAGATGTTTCAGTCCACACCTGGCTGGCTCAGAGGCATGGTAGCACACCAGAGGGGCATCACAGAGGGGAAAGAGCTCAAGGCATGGCAGGCTGGAAGCAATGAGAGATCAAGGGAGGAAGGAAAATATACACTCTTTCAGGCCATGCTCCCCAGTGACTCACCTCTTCCAAGAGGCTTCACCTCCCAACATCACACCCAACTATAACCCCACCAGTGGACTAATCCAGCAGCACACACCCATGGTCCAGTCACCTCTCAGAAACCCCACCTATTAGCACACGGGACTTCGGGAGACATCTGCATAGAAACCATTACAACATTACAAACAAGCATGTGTCTGACACTGCCCTTGAAGTCAGGATTAGACTATGTATGGTGTATCTCTGTCTCCCTAGTCCCTAATGCACAATAAGCAATTGATAAATATTTGTAGGACAGATAGCTAACAATCTAGGACCAAGCAAAGCTACTGAAGAAAGGTATTTTTATCTTCTACTCCTGAATTTACAAGCATTTCACAGAAGTATTGCAGAAAATTGAAAACAGTCTTCAGACATGAATTATATTACTATTGAACATATTAAGTCTTCTACAAATTATCTCTCGTTGGAATTTGTTTTTGTACTCAATTCCTTTAGTGATGCTATTTGCATGTGTGTTGTGCATTCTAAGCACAAGTTCTACCACTGAGCTATACTGTTAGTTCCTAATGACATTAATTTTCAGCACTCTGAGATGACTATTATGAAAAACTTCTAAATTTAAATACTAGTACATATGATAAATTATTTTCAGAATGGAAAATGGTTTTTAATTAATAAGGCAATCTAAAAAATTATATAGCACCTTATCTTTCTAAAACAAATATAAATTAGAAAATGTATGCTGTCATTTTGGTTCATATAATGTTCTTAATATCATTTTTAGAATCAGGCCTTACGCTGCCAACACAGAATTTATCATGTAATTTGTAATTTGTTATCAAAAACTAGGCTGAAGAGTCATTCTGGATTGTTCTATTTCACAGACCTGAGAGGATGAAATGAAAAAGTGAAGAGGGCCTTGAAAAAGGGAAAACAGGTAAATGGTTTAAAAAAAAAAATTGCTAGTTGTCATATACCAGTACCTGTAGGAAAGGCAGCCCAGGGAATAGCAGGAGATGTTTGGGTCTCACCATTTCCATCATCGAAAGTCTCTGCAGCCTAGAAACAAACCCAAGATTATTTTAAAAGTTCTAAAAAGTAAAAATTCTACTTAAGTGCTGAAGCACTGCAGTTCTCTAGAACCTTCTGGAGCACACCACATCCTGTCGGTGTCTCCCTGCCGACTCCCACCTGTCTGCCTTCACAGCCACCGCCTGCCACTCCCCAGCCCTCAGTGCCTGTTCCCTGTGATCTCCAGATAAGAAGCTGCCTTCCTTATTTAAATAAATCATATCCAAGAAATTCTTATTTTATATGTTCTTAATAATTTTGTACTTGGGAACTTTATAACTAACTACTGTAATTTAACTTACCACCACACCTACCTAGATATATAATTTTTTTTTTCTAAAATACAGACTAAATCTGTTAAATTACCACAATAGTTATTATAGATTGATCTGAAAAACAGGATTCATCTAAATTCTTAAATAATATACTAGCTGAACTTACTAGTACTAGATACTTGAGAGAATTCCTGAAGCTGACACATTCAATGAACAAGTTCTCCTGTTTTGGGACAATTACTGAATGCTGAGTTTGTGGCTAACAGTGTAGAATTTTCTGTCTCTTAGGCAACCAGGTCAAAGCAAAATGATTACTGAAAATTAAAGATACAATGCCAGTTTGGGTTCTACGCTGATTTGTCAGCCAAAAGTCAAATGGGATAATCTTCTACAGGAGCTCAGTGACAGAAGCTACTTTCGACACTCTGAAAAATGTCCATATTTTATACAGCTAAGTATAGAGACCTTCTACATATCTAAGGAAGCATATGAAAAGAAACAACAAACCACAATTAAACTATAATGGCACTTAACACTTCACCTGTGTAACACCAAAAGCAGTAGATGCACTGAACATAATATCAAGTGGACTTGTCACTCTAAGGAGCACCACTCGCTCTGTTTTTCTTACAGATACATACAACATCCAACATGGTTTAAGTAAAGGAAATTTACTAGATTCTAATTTCTAGATTCTAAATTCCAAATAACTAACAGCTTCCAAACAATAAATGAAATGAGGTGATAATCTGAAACATTTTCAAAAGGGAAAGAATTTTAACAAAATTTTAAATGTTACATTTAATGAAATAAATAAAATTCAGTTTCCTCATAAAACCCAAAATATTAAACAAAATGAAAAAAGTATTCAAATATACCGAAGAAAAATGTTTTAGATGAAACCCCCAAAAAACGGGTATGTCTATATTCTAAAGGCATCCATATTTACCAGCCATAAATGATAAAACATACCTGATATAAATGATCCTAACCTTAAAAACTCATACCATTCATTCATAAAATTCAGAACACTTAATATAATATATACTTAATATCTTATTTTTTATATTACTGCTATCAATTATACTTCCTAATTTTTATAATTGTAATACAAAGTAGATGAAAGTCTTAGTTAAAAAGAAAAAAAAAAAAAAATCACAGTTCATTTGACCATTGTCCTAGGCCTTGAGCTCAGGCATCCTGACTCTTAACCCAGAGATTTTCCCGCAAGACTACACTGGCTCCATAAAAATAACTGGGTTATAAAATATTCCAGTAAAATGAACACACACTGAAAAAGATTAAAGAAAAGGCACTGCTTCTTCAGTTAACAATTTCCACTTACAAAGTATCCAACCAAAACCTGAGAGAATAATCTCACAACATGAAAATACACAAATTAGTGTTGTGAATCACCAAAGGTTTCGTGTTTCCTATATTAAGTCAACTCTCAACAGGGGTAAACATGCAAACATGTGGCGGGCAAGGTCTTTAACACTCATCTCACAAGCATTTCCTAATAAACATTTTACAGAAAAACGGCATGCTGACAATTTTTTAAACCTCTTCTTTAGTGCCTCCAACGGTAGTATTTAATTAAATCCATTTAAACCATTCCTGCGGGCAAGACAAAATTTTCAATAATAAATCAGTTCTACTTTCAGAAGGAAGATACTTTTTAATTTTCTTTGATTTGATTTTTTTTATTCCAGTTACATACAAAGTGGTTAAGATCATGAATGTCAATGCAAAAAATATATTTTCAAAACAGCTGAGTCCACTATAACCCCACAAAGTTAAAATAAACTAATGTAAATAATAATGCATACCTCAAAGCCACCAAAATCATCATCGTCCATTCTTCAAGTAGCACCTGAAAAATATCAAGACACTGAAACAAGCCCACACACAGTCATGCATGTCAAAAATATTTCTCCAATTTAAATGTATATATATTTTGATTTGTAAACTAAAGCTCTTTTATTTGGATTCAAAATCTTGATCTATGCATTTTTAACACAAGAAAGTCCTAACTGACTTACTTTTTGGCAAAATTAGCAATTTTTGTAACTTTTTCAGCAACCATGTATTTTGCCATTTTGTATTGAGATGCCAGGAGTGGAAAAATATTCTTCTACATTTTAATTTGCTTTTCCCAAATTGGAGCTAGGGCTCAATTCAATAATGCTTCCTGCTTTTTGCATCTACTCCTCAGTTGTCTGGCAACATCAGCACAAACTCCAGCTACGAACAGGACTGTGGTGAACTTTTGGAAATCTGTCTTCCACCACAAAGGTTCTTCCCTCAGTTTCATGGCCAGGGCTGATTTAGATTTTCAAAATTGATCAGCATTTTTGAGCTGTGGCCACAACTTTTGGAGCATTTTGATATGTGTATTTTTAGCTGAAAGTGCTTTGCACTATTGGAAAAATGTGGAGCAAGTTACCAAGCTGATCAAGATAAATCAAGTCATGTATTCATACGAGACTAGGGATGAGAAAAACACAAGTGGATATCCAGAATTCCTCGCTTCTTTGCCCTTAAAGTGTGTAAGAGAGACACGCAGTAGGGTAATACATGCCTTATTTTGCCCTAAATGTATGTTACAAAAATGGAAAGATAGAACTGCTAGTATCTAGGCTCCAGAAATAAAGCACCAGTTTTATCTAACACCACAAAGAATTGAAAACCTAAGGTAAAATATGTAATAGTGGTACACATCAAAATGAAAAATAAATTCTTACACAGTTTCTCAACCTATGATTTAGAATCTATAATTGTGAATCAGTAGCTGTAAGTGCTATTCTGGTCAATAATAACTGATTTCCTTTCTCTCTTTCAAAAGTGAACATATGCAGAAAAACTTCTAATTTCTTTTGCTCAGTAATAGAAGATGAAATTGATCACAGAAAAAAATACTGTTTCACTTCTCAAACAAACAGCTTCAGAAATTAAGCCTTTTGTCAAGAAATAACCATAAAGGTATTTTCTAAGATCATTTATTTTAAGTTGTCATCTGTATCTATGCTTTCCTTCTCACTGAAAGTAATACTAATGTCTCCAGAAGGAACCCTAAGAAAAACAAAAGTCAAAAAGTTAACAGTAAAAAACAGAGTACTCAGGGATTCTTTTTTAAAAACAGGCCAAGCAAATTTATTTTCATAGAAACTCAATAGATAATGACACTAAAGGGAATATATGAAGACAGAATAAGTTATAAAAAAGGACATTAAACTGACCAGAATAAGATAACAGTATTGTTTCCATTCCCCATAACTTAACAATTTTAAGAAAAATTTTTAAAAGATGTATTTCTCCAAAAATTAAAGTTAAATAAATCATCCACATACATACAGTACTTACAAAATATAAACCAGACTTTCAAAAACTTTTGATGTTGGCTGATTTGAAATGGAATTCACATTAAGTCTGTGTTGCAAGTGAACAGAATCAGTGTGTAATTACATTTTCATGAAGGAATTATGAAAGAAGAATGATATGGATACTGAGAATTAACCAAGTCAAACTATAAACACCAAGTTGGTCTTTTCCCCATGTTTCCCACAAATCTCAAGGGACAATTAAAAAAATATTTTTAGCATCTACAAATGCCATAGTCAAATAACATGGTTTCAAAAGAATGGAGTTTTAAGGACAATGCTCCTATGTTTTCGTAAGTCACATACCGATAGGTTAGCTATAAGGTGCCAGAAAATCTGAAAACAAAAACAAATGCCCATGTTTAACAAACACTTCAGCCTGTCTGCCTGTGGTAAAGAATCTAGTACCATCAGTTTCCTAAGCACTGACTGAGCTCTATGAAAGAATGTATTAGTGACCACTGATGTTTTCTATGTCCCAGAAATTTCTACATACTAAAATGCAGATGACAGATTTATTCTTCTTTATTTTCAAAGAAATATTAACATACCTCTTAAAAAACGAATGTGTCCTGAGTTTAAGTATAGTAGTACCAAAATAAATATTTCAGAGCAATGGTCTTTCTCCAAATAATTTCAAATCCTGCAATAGGTTCTGTTTCCTTAAAACATTTTAAAAAGTAAAAGGAAAGAAAATTAAGAGCACTGCTTTGTAAAAATCCATGTTTTCAAGATAGAAAAACTGAAAATAGTTTTTCAAAGGAAATATTACAAGTATGGACTTCTTTATGAATTTAGCTACTAAAATATTTATTAAATGTTATCTAAAGTGCATGCCGTTTAAACTTTTTACGATTATTTGTGGAACTTAACATTATAGCCAATTAAACTACAAATACCAAGATAATGTACCAAAACCAAACGTACCTGTGAGAAAACCATGAGCCTGGCAATACAACTACTGACAGATCATGTAATGCGTCTTTTCAGATTGTGTAATACATCTTTTCATGTCATGGCACAAGAGACATATGCTCTGTTATGATTAGGGAATTATACTGAAAGTTTTCATAATATCTAGATTTAACAACTTAGATTTAAGTTCATTTGTTGCTTTATTAATTCCCTACTTGTTATTTTCAGTACTTAATGTATTTCTAATATTCTAAAAATATTTAACAAGAAAAACATACCACAAAGAAAAACACACACAAGAATGATCAAACTTTCATTGAGCAACTCTACATGAAACATCATTCGAGGTTTTCAAGACATTAAGAATCTGGTGTGAAGAAGAGTGCAAAAGATAAGAAAAGTGCACAAATTCAAATAATACAAGACACAGAAAGCCTTACTAGATTTTTTTAACTGTCCAAGGTGGAAGGAAAGATTGTCATAAGGTGACACAGTGGAAGTTTTATGAAACACTTCAAATAAGAGACATCTGAAATTTCAATGGGCCTCATAGATAACTTCAAGTGAATTAAGAAAGTGCACTTTACTCAAGGCTTCACCAAAGTCTTTCTCTAAAATAACTTTTTTGCTTCTGCATAAAAACAAGGTTAAAGAGCACCCGAAATGAGAAAACTGCAAGAAATGTGAAAGCAAATAGAAGATTTCCCCCTATCAGTGGGAAAAAGGAGGCTCATTCACTTTATATCACAGAATCCACAAAAGGTTCAACAGTGGGCACCCCTGAAGTGAGCAAGGATGAGTAAGACTCAAAATAGGAGTCCCATCCCCTGACTCCTCCTGCATAACTGGGCAATCTCTCACCCCAGCACAGCAAGCTTATCCCTGCGTGGATTACCAACATTCGTAGATCCCACTAAGTCAAAGTTCTTTGAAATGGTGAGACCAGTAGTCCCAATATTCTTTCCCCACTCAGCCACCAATATACCAGCAGCTGGGTTTAAGTCTCAAGCAGAAAGGTGGCTCATACTATACTTCTCTGATGAATCCAGTCAATTAATGAAGAAAAACCTCAGGAGAGGTCCCATAAATAAGCAACTCGCTTAGGAGACACTCCCCTGACAAACCCCACCAATAGGCACCAAATTACAATTAGTTCCTGATTTCAATAAGGGGTAAAATTACATTCTAACAGAATGTACTATGGGGCCAGGTTGTCTGAATCAATTCTAGATCTAACTCTCACTATGTTACACTGGGCACTGCACAAATATTTTGACTTGGTTTTCTCATACATCAAATAGGGGTAATAATAACATTCTCCTAAAATCATTATGAAGAGAAAACAAGTTAAAATAGATGAAACACTCAGAGCAATATCTGATGAGTTCTTCGCCTTCTATGTCTGCTACTTTTATTATTAGTATCAAACTCTTCACATAAGAATAAGCTAGCAGAGACGACCAAAGATACAAAGATTTTCAAACAGACACTAAATAAACAAAACCAAAACAAAAGATGTAACAGAAACTAACCAAGAATAAAAATCAACAAAAAACTACAAGAACTAAAATAATCTGTTCAGCAAGTTAAGAGAAAGCAGTGTATCAATAAAGTAAGAACAAAATGTATGGAAATTTTAAGGGAGGATGTGGGTAAAGATGGGGAGAAAAACAAAGTTTTAGAAATAAAAACAGTAACTGTGAAAAATAAAAAATGCAAAGCGGAAAACAAAGTTAATGAAAATTCCCTTAAAAAAAGAAGCATTTAAAAGAAAAATTGAAAATCAGAGTAAAATATTGAAAAATTGCAAGATTCAGTCCATAATATGCAATATCTAATCATCAGGAGTTCTGAAAAACAGAACTCAGAAAATGAAAATAAAAAATCAGTAAAATGACTTAACAAAATTGTCTAAAAGTATAACCTATTGAGATTTAATAGGTCCTGCAAGTATTCAAAAAAACAGAAGAAAAAAAAACAAAAAAAACACAAAGATACAATACAGACAAACAGAACATCCAACAAGCTTCCTGGGAGATACATTAGGTTTCATACCAAGCATCAAGAATATAATTGCATCAGGATTCACAAAAACATCCCTGGTATGAGACAAACAATGCAGGCATACCTGTAAAAGACCATGAAAAAAAACTACAGCAGTGAATTCTATAATTAGCCAAATCAGTGAATAAGCTGAAGGAAGAAAAATGTCCTAACTACACCTGTAAAGTCTCAAAACAATTTTGTTTCAAAAACGCACTTTCTTAAAAAGCTATAGTGTAAATCAATGGATTAGGAAAGAAAGAAGAAAAGGGATTAGGAAATAAGAGAATTAAAGTGAACAAGAAAGGGAATTTTTCCCAAAATGATGAAAGTGAACTCTCAAAACATCTACCTCGCAGAAAGAGAGAGCAACCATTCTTGATTGGGGCAAATCAGAAAGCTAAGAAGACAGATTCAAGCAAATGAAGTTAATAGATTATCTCACATGTTTTACCATCATGAGTATAACTGCAAACAGTGGGAGATGGGAGATGAAGGTTGGAAAGCTGATTAGAGAAGTAATCGAAAGAAAACA